AGGTCCCTCACCAAAGGCTCTTAAGGAAAGTAAGTTGTCATGGGATAAGACGGAAGATCCTTTCATGGATTAAACCGGTTAAAAGACAGGAAACAAAGGGTAGGAAGAAACGGTAAGTCCCGCAAGGCTCTGTCCTGGGACCAATCCTATTCAACTTATTTATAAATGATCTAGAGAAAGGGGTAAAAAATGAGATAGCAAAATTCGCAGATGACACTAAACTGCTCAAGATAGTTAAGAACAAAGCAGACTGTGAAGAGCTGCAAAAGAATCTCACAAAACTAAGTGATTTGGCAACAAAATGGCAAATGAAATTTAATATTGGTGAATGTAAAGTAATGCACATTGGAAAAAATAATCACAATTATACATACAATATGATGGGGACTAATTTAGCTACAAGTACTCAATAGAGACATCTTGGCGTCATTGTGGATAGTTCTCTGAAAACATCCACTCAGTGTGCAGTGGTAGTCAAAAAAGGAAATAGAATTTTAGGAATCATTTAAAAAGGGATAGAGATTAAGACAGAGAATATCTTATTGCCGCTATATAAAACAATGGTACACCCACATGTTGAATACTGTGTAGAGATGTGGTTGCCTCATCTCAAAAGAGATATATTGGCATGGGAAAAGGTTTAGAAAAGGGCAACAAAAATGATTAGGGGTTTGGAATGGGCCCCATATGAACAGTGATTAAAAGACTGGGAATTTTCATTTTGGAAAAGAGGAGAAACAGGCTGGTTCCTGTTCTAGTAGGTGGTGATATGGTCGGGCACACAAGGAAAATGACTTTTGTTCTACTTTATGCAATGCCACCAACCTTCTGTGTACACTTGGGGAAATCACTTCATCACTCTGTGCTTCAATACTTGCCCCAAATGTATATGAGAGATAATCATCTTTGAATAAGCATTTCTAATTATGCTTATCCACATTGACATTGACAAAGTACTTACTAAACAGGTTTATTACAAGCACAGGTTACAACTGTTATGTTGCTGCTCAGGAACAACAAAGAACCTTGAAGTAACCTAAAGGAAGCATTAAGAAATCTGATGGGCTGATCGGTCACATCAAGATAGCAAATGGGCAACCAAAGCACAAGACATTTATCAAAAAATGAGGACAGCATATGCAAAAAGAGATTCAAGGTCAGCTCTGGTATTCAAAGCTTTCTAGTGGAACACAGTAGCGTTATTTCAGAAGAACTGGTATTATTCCAAAATAACATAGCGTGCGTCTATGCTACAAGCCTTTATTTCGAAATAATGTCAAGCTAGAAGACTTCTTATTCTGACTCCTGTAACCCTCATTTCACAAGGAGTAAGGGAAGATGAAGGAAAAGTTTTCTTCCTTTGACTTTCTGCAGTGTAGACAGTGACAAAAGCCGAATTAAGCTATTTTGACTTCAGCTACGCAATTGACGTAGCTGAAGTTGTATAGCTTAATTGGAGTTTTGCCCTGCTGTGTAGACGTGCCCCATGAGATTACCAAGTGAAAACCAGCAGAGCTAGCAGTAGAAGCATGTCTGAGACACAGCTAGATTTTTTACCATTAAGTGACTCTAAAAAAGTGACGCTAAAAATAGCCCCTTGTTATTTCTCCCTTTGGGTCACATTCTATCATGTGTATAATTCCTATTGATGTTGATGGTGACACAAACAAAGCTAGACACTAGCACTGTGGATTTTCCCAGGGATATATCTGTTCAGCTTACTGACAACGGCATGTTTTGTTTTGTTATTTTAAATCAGCAGCACTACATTGCTGCTGTGGAAGAGTCAGACAATTTGTATTTCACCTCAGGCTTCGTCAAGGTAACTGACTGATGTGATGGCTAGCGGTGGCATGCCAGGAAGAAAGAAAACAGTTGAATTATCAGGCTCCTGGCTGAGAGGAGGAAGAGTGGAGAAAGAGATGGAGGAAATCCACTTGTGGCTTATACAGAGAAAGTTATATACAGCAAAACCTGTGTTATCTGGCACGCTCGGGGATTAGAGCTTTCTGGTTATCTAAATATTCCGGTTATCTGAGGGTCCCATCAACCTAGGAAAAACCAATGGACAATAGTAGTAAAACTCAAGTGTTTAATATTAGTAGTTTTGTAGTTTGAGGCAGTTGGTGTCACATTTCTATTTTGAGTTAAAGATGATTAGTACTTCTTAAATAAAATATTGTTAAGCCAATCATGGTAAACCAAGCCAGGCCTGTGCGCCTGAAGATGTGACAGTATTATGGCTGGGGGCAATGCCGGATAACAAAGCTTTCACTATATAGAAAAACAGGGAAGCGCCCAAGATGGAGAAAGGATTGAGGAAAATCTCACTAATATTCCTTCTTCCTAGCCCATTGCTTCTTGCCCTATCATCAAAGGTTAAGGAGAATAATTTTTCTCCCTCCTCCTTGTAAAACCCTTTTAGTATTTGAAAACTGCTACCATGTCCCCTCTCTTTTACAAGCTAAATAAACACAGTCATTTTAGTCTTCCCTCATCAGTCACATTTTCTAGACCGTTAATCATTTTTGCTGCTCTTCTCTGGACCTTCTCCAATTTCTCCACATCTTTTCTAAAAATGTGTGCCCAGAACTGGACACAATACTTTAGTTGAAGCCTAATCAGCGCAGAGTAGAGCAGAAGAATGACTTCTCGTGTCTTGCTCTCAACACTCCTGTTAATGCATCCCAGAATCATGTTTGGTTTTTTTGCAACAGTCTCACACTGTTGACTCATATTTAGTTTGTGGCCCACAATGGCCCCCCGATCCCTTTCTGCAGTACTCCTTCCTAGGACAGTCACTTTCTATTCTGTATATGTGAACCTGATTGTTCCTTCCTAAGTGAAGAACTTTGCATTAGTCCTCATTGAACTTCATCCTATTCACCTCAGACTATTTCTCCAGTTTGTCCAGATCATTTTGAAGTATGACCCTATCCTCCAAAGCACTTGCAACCCCTTCCAGTTTGGCATCATCTGCAAACTTTATAAATCTACTCTCTATGCCATTATCTAAATCGCTGATGAAGATATTAAACAAAACCGGTCCCAAAACTGATCCTTGCAGAACTCCACTTGTTACGCCCTTCCAGCATGACAGTGAACCATTAATAACTGCTATGTGAGAATGGCTATCCAACTAGTTATGCATCCAAATTATAGTAGTCCCATCTATGTTGTATTTCCTTCATTTATTGATAAGAAAGTCATGCAAGACTTATCAAATGCTTTACTAGAGTCTAGGTATACCACATCTACTGCTTCCCCCTTATCCACAAGGTTTGTTATCCTATCCAAGAAAGGTATTAGGTTGTTTTGACATGATTTGTTCTTGACAAATCCATGCTGACTGTTACTTATCAGTTTATCTTCTACAGGTTTGCAGATAGATTCCTTAATTATTTGCTCCATTATCTTTCCTGGCACAGATGTTACGCTGACTGGTCTATAGTTTCCTGGGTTGTCCTTACTTTCTTATTTATAGATGGGCACTATATTTCCCCTTTTCCTTTCTTCTGGAACCTCTTCAGTCTTTCATGACTTTTCGAAGAGGATGGCTAAGGGATCAGATACCTCCTCTATCGATCCCTTGAATATTCTAGAATGCATTTCATCAGGCCCTGGTGACGTGCAGACATCTAACTTCTCTAAGTAATTTTTAATTTGTTCTTTTCCTATTTTTACTTCTGAACCTACCTGATTTTCACTGGCATTCACTATGTTAGGCATCCAAACACGATCAACCTTCTTGGTGAAAACCGACACAAAGAAGTTAAGCACCTCTGCCACATCCACATTTTCTGTTATTGTTTCTCCCTCTTCATTGAACAATGGGCCCACCTTGTCCTTGGTCTTCCTCTTGCTTCTGATATATTTGTAAAATGTTTTCTTGTTGCTCTTTATGACTCTAGCCAGACTGAGCTTGCCTTGTGCCTTTGTCTTTCTAATTCTGCCCTGACATATTTTTGTTAAAAATTAAAGCCCTGCACACCACATGCATCATGCAGGACTACTAGTGATCAAGGAGTTACTCATATTCCAGTGACATATTACGTGAAACCTTTTAGATACACAGTATAGCCACAGGGAGTTGGGGTGCCCCAAACTGGTCAGGCCAGCTGCAATCCATTATCTTATACCAGTGAGACCCTTGCCCTCTGGCACTGGGATGCTCCAAGTGTCACAGAGCTGGCTCAGGCCCAGAGTGAGCCGTCTGACACACACACACAGATTACCTAAGATGTCATTTGCTTCACCTCATCAGGGCGCTCCGATTCAGAGATAATATTCCAGAAGAGAGAAAGGATGGCCCAGTAGTTAGTGCTACTTGTGAAGCCCACATTCAGTTTCTTGCTCTGGTAACAGGCTTCCTGTGTGACATAAGGCACTTAAAGCTTATCTACATGACTATTTCACAACAAGCTGGGCTGACACTCTACCCTGCACTGGCTGTCCATGTGCACCCTGCTCACATGTTGGCAGTTTGTCAATATGCTTTGATTAGTCCTGTTTCAAAGGGTGCTAGAATTAATCAAAGTACATTAGCAAAGTGTTAATGAATGTCAGTCGGGTCAAAACAGACGGTTAGTGTATGTCAGGCTAGTGTCATGTTTGTGAAGACAAGCCCTTAGTCAGACTGTGCCTCAGTTATCCATCTGTAAAATGGGGGCAATAGCATTTCCCTGTCTCACCAGGGTATTAAATAGGATAAATACATTCAAAAATGTATTCAAGACTATACAGCCCCTTTTAGCGTAGTATCTTAAAATAGACAGACAGGGCATGAAAACAGCACAAACAACCCTATTCCTGAGTCTGACCCAAATATCATCATCCCTGCAGGGTGGGAGGCAGGAGCTCCGGTTACATTACTGGTCCTCTGAACATCGGGTTCAGAAGAAACTAATTATGGGTGGAGACCACAAGGGAGGAATAAGCAAGTTGAACTGAATTCCTTGTATTACACATCAGCTAAGATTATAGAGTTAAAAAACACTTACATTATATGCCTTGACTATCAACTGAATAATATTGTTGGAGTCTTGAAGTAAAATCTCCACCGTCGTTCCAGGAATTAGTGCTGTAAAATTCTTAAAAACACACACAGAGAAAGATTCACACATTGAAATACAGAGTATGAGTTAAATTTTGTTCTCATTTCCACCCATGCACACAGTGACCTCACTTGTTGCTTACATGGGATGGAGGACAGTTTTACCCATAATTTATTAATTAGGAGAAATGATACAGTGCCATTTTAATCTGGAGCTTTTGATAAACAAAATAGGAGCCTTACTGGTCCATAAAATTCTAATCACAATCCATGGTCAAGGGAACTACCCAAACTATGATCAGTAACCCTTTCTCAACAAACCAAGACCCATACCCATTGGCTGGAGCAAGATCTAGTGGATTTGCATGTGTGTCAATGAGAGAAGAATTTGGCACAAATTCCTACCATAAAGGGAAAAAAGTCTTGGCTTCCATCAGATAGCACTCTGGTGGAAATGCTAGCTTGCACTGAAAAGGGTGTGGCGAATGAGATAAGCAGCCAGTTAGCTCTCCACGGGTTACTAGCATGATTTTGAAATTATCAACATTTACAGTTAGTGCAAAGGATGAGTTTCTGGGGAAAGGGGTGGGGTTTTTTTGTAATCCTGGATGCAAACATTTAGGAGAATGCTTTTCATGCAACCACCCCACTTTATTGTTTTTACACGATGAACAGCATGGCTTTCTTCTTTTAAATAAAATAAACAAACAAATAAAATAAACAATCAAATAAAACAAATAAAATAAGGTAGCAGTGATGGCAGGGACGCAAATTCAGTTTGTATGAGTTTCTAAAAAGATTTAAGACTGAGAACAGAAACTCTACAGGTGTTTTAACCCAGATACTTTTTTTTTTTTCCTGAGGGATTTCAAAAAGTATTTTTTGCTTCAAAGCTCTGGATTTAGCAACAGAAAACCACAGCTGGGCAGAAACACAGTGTGCTTAAGTAATAGCAGTGGGGTTGAACAGGTGTCCGCTCTCGTAGATGCTGAATGGTTGGCAACTTTCCTAAAGACAAGATTAGGCCAGAGTCTATTTTAAGTGTTCACATGATTGTAAACGTTTATCTGTTTACTTAAGACGCTTGCATGCTTTTCACTGAAAGGACAATGCTTCTAGAAAACTTCAGATACACAACGGGGTGAGTTCAGTTTGTGCTAGAATGTACATATGCTTCCAACACTTCAGAGGCTCTCTCTCAGGATTTGTCTACACTGACATGTTACAGCACAGCCATGGCAGCGCTGCAGAGTGGACAGCGCAGTCATGCTTTATCGCAAGGGGAGAGCTCTCCTGGTGATTAAAAAAAACAACCCAAACAAGGACTGGTGAGTGCAGCGATAAAGTGCTGTCTAGACTGGCGCTTTTCAGCGCTGAAACTTTTATCACTCAGAGGGGTATTTTTTCACACCCCTGAATGAGTCAAGTTTTAGTACTGAAAGTGTCAGTGTAAATGCGACCTAATTTGATTCAGAGTTGTTCCTCCTGTCCTCTCTCACCTCACCCATTCTATTCATGTTGGGAGGAAGGCTCTTCCAACTGACACGCCTCTTCCCTCCCCCTCCCCCCCCCACAAAAACCATCTCCCTGCTGGGTGGTTCAACAGCACTCACCTTGTAAAGAAAATAATGAGCTTTTGTCACAGCAAAAATGAGGTGGATGTTGTTTTCAGCCAGCTTCTCTCCAAGAAGTGCCAGGGAAGGATAATCCTAGTACAACAGATCAGAAAGACTCATTTGTGACACAAAAACAGAGCAATTTAATTTCTATTCTCACCGTAGCAGCGAAATTCCTGACGGAAACACAGCATATTTCATTGTTATGCCAGAGTCCTTATTGTGCCAGAAAAGTGTCATCTTCTCTCTGCATATGTATTTCTTACACACCCATCACATTCATGTGCCAACAAAATCAGCTACAGCAAACACCACCTCTGGAACAGTGAACGTTCCCCAGTCTTTCCTTTGCTATCAGTGAGTGTATGGATTTAAATAAGTTGCTGTCTTCAAGGAAGTGAGATGAGGCCATTAGTTAGGGTTGTTGTCCCAGGAAAATTTACTGCATACTGACATTATTTTGTGTTGAAAGTGGTAAGATCTATGGTCTGCTCCTTGCGTCTTATAGCAGTGGTTCTCAAACTTTTGTAGGGGTGACCCCTTTCACACAGCAGCCTGTGAGTGAGACGCGTCTTATAGCAGTGGTTCTCAAACTTTTGATGGGGTGACTCCTTTCACACAGCAGCCTCTGAGTGAGACCCTTCCTTTATAAATTAAAAACACTTTTAAAGATAATTAATACCATTATAAATGCTGGGTGCAAAGTGGGGTTTGGTGTGGAGGCTGACAGCTCACTACCTCACATATAAAAACGTCATGACCCCCTGAGAGGTCATGAGCCCTAGTTTGAGAACCCTTATCTTGGGCTAAGTCTACACTGGCACTTTACAGCGCTATAACTATCTGGCCTAGGGGTATGAAAAAACACCCCCCCCTTCTCAGGAACAGCATGTTACATGGATGTAAAGTGCCAGTGAGAGCCATGCTCCCAGCACTGTTAGCTACTCCCCTCCTGCTGTGTCCATGCTTTCAGTTTAGGGCCTCTGAAGTGTAGACAAAGTCTTTGAGTAATGGCAACAAAATAAACAGATTAACATAGGAGTGGGGGAGTGAGATGGATTCTATCCCATCATGCACAGCATCAGCAGGCCAACTGCAGGATTTTCATTTTGTTGAAAAAACGAGGAAGATAGAAAGCGATTGGTTGGAACGTTAAGGCCTCGTTTGCAGTGCAGGCAGTTAGACAAGACACGACACGACACGACACACACACCTTTTTACTTGCAAATTGATCGAATTTGAAGCCACTGGGATGAAAACCATGGAAGCCCATGAGTCCTTCTTTGCAAGTGTCACAGTGTAACTCCACATCAATACACAAGGAGCGGGAATGACCAGTGGAAGAATACTTTTGCTTGTTACAATTCAAACAGGCAAAACAAACATTAGCCTGCTTTAGGGGCTCCAGCCTATTGTCATGAGGCAGGCAGCCTGGCATAATGAGTGTGGGGAATCTTCTATGTCCATTCAGGAACACAACAATTATTAGTGTTTAAGTGACAAAACAGTGCAGCGCTGCAGAACATGTGATAATTAAACAGCAGACAAGGACTCATTCACCCAGGAAGTCACCTGCGGTTTCTTCTGCTGACTCACTTGTAATTTCCAAAAAAAGAAAGGTTAGCTTGTCTGTTATCATTTAATATTTATATAACTCTCAGACCTAAAGGCCTAGTGAGGAACAGGGACCCATTGTGCTACATACTGCAGAGACAGTCCCTGACTAAAGAAATGACAGACATATCTACTGCACATACATTAGAAGAGAAGAACAACATTTTACATTTTCTTCACACTCTGTAGACGAATCTTGCCATGATTCGGGGTGTCAAATGAACCTTTCCCATGTGCAGCTAACCCCGCTGAGGGGTTTGCAAGCTTGAAAGTCTGTTGAGCCATTTTGGGATGGCTACAAGAAACTAAGAGGGCTTTGGATGGCTCAGGGACTTGACAGCGGTAGAGGATGGTCTTTCACCTGCAGACTGCCAGCTCAAAGGAAGCCCCCAGGGAGTGAAAGCGGCTGACATCTGTCAAAGGGTCCTACAACCCTGCGAGTACACGTCTTTAAACCAAATAAATAAATGCAAGGAAGTCGCTGACACTCAAAAGTTTCCAAGTGCCCAAGGAAAGGGGATCCCAGTGCACAGCAGACACTGAGGTTTATTCTCACCAGTTGGTTGGATGCACTGTATTCGTTCGCCTCTCTTTCGAAAGAGGCTCTTTCGAAAGATGCTTTCGAAAGAGCCTCTTTCGAAAGAAGCCTGCAGTCTAGACATAGCCTAAGAGGGCTTTGGATGGTTCAGGGACTTGACAGCGGTAGAGGATGGTCTTTCACCTGCAGACTGCCAGCTCAAAGGAAGCCCCCAGGGAGTGAAAGCGGCTGACATCTGTCAAAGGGTCCTACAACCCTGCGAGTACACGTCTTTAAACCAAATAAATAAATGCAAGGAAGTCGCTGACACTCAAAAGTTTTCAAGTGCCCAAGGAAAGGGGATCCCAGTGCACAGCAGACACTGAGGTTTATTCTCACCAGTTGGTTGGATGCACTGTATTCGTTCGCCTCATTTAGGTGACACTGGCCATCATGCGGCTGGACCAGTCCGCCGAGCTTCCCGTCCAGTGCTATGTGCGGCACGTCGTCCGTCGTGAAGACCAGCAAGTGAGAGGCCTCTTTCCTCCAGCCAATCTTTTCCTGGGTGGAAACAAATCCAGGAGAGAGAATCATCAGTCCCCCGTGCTGAGCTCAACGCTTCTCACGTTGTGCTGGGTATTGTCCCAGCCATACTTCCATACAACAGAGGATCACTAATTAAAGACACCGCAAGCCGGTCCGCCTACTCCTGAACAGGGCTAAAACTCAGGAACCCCTTTTGGGTGCCATTTGCCAACATTTCTTTCAAGTAAAGTTATTTTAAAAGACATTGGGGGGTATATACATAAGTGAACTGCCCACCAGACTCTCTCTTCATTGCTCCAAGTATAAGCATTTCAGCTGCTTTTAGAGCCAAAAAGGCCTGCCAAATTCGTCCAAACACATTCAAACTGACCTTGTTTCCTCAACAATATGGAATTGCCAGGCTAGATTTTCACTTCAGAGTTAATATGAGCTCTTCTATGGTGTTATCTTACGGCTCCAATTTTGTCACAGAGGTCACAGTGGTCAGACGAATCGTGAATTTGAGCAACACCCATGAAATTTTGGCAGTGGCTGTCAGAACGTCATTTGATTAGGCCCACAAACTAAGTGTCGTTAGGGTTGCCAGGTGTGCGGTATTGTACCGGACAGTCCGGTATTTGCACGCTCTGTCTGGTAAAAAAAAAAAATCAGGAAATACCGGACATATGCAACATCCGGTATTTTCTGATTTTTCCGGCTGCGCACCAGAAGGAAGCCTGGCAGGGTGAGGGGAGTGGCTGGGAGTCCCAGCTGGGAGGCGAGGCCGTGATTGCCACCGGGAGCCCTCAGTCATCCCGCTCCCTGCTGGCCAATGTGCTCCCCCCCGGTGCCCAGGTCAGTCCCGCTCCCTGCTGGCCAATGTGCTCACCCCCGTTCCCAGCTGGCATGTAATATTGGTCCTATTTCATCTTTGACATCTGTATGAAATTCTCATTTATGGAGAGTAAAACTACAGACAACAAAGGAGTTGGTGGGAATAATGCTATCCAGTAGCTTAATAAGAATCTACAAAACTTGTAATTATTTGATTATTCTATTCTTGAAGCAAAAACATGTTCAGAAAGAAAGGCAGAGAACTTCCCGCTTTCTTCCATAAGTAGTGTCTACAAAAAGTTGTCCTATCCCTTTGTTTGAAAGCCACAAACTCATTAATAATATCTGGCTACAGCTACATAATCAATGATGTTTCTAGGGTACCATCCAACTGGGGAGAATCTGAGCTCCTCAGTATCTTTTATAGTCCCTTTTGTAACCAGATAGCTCAGGAGATTGATCGTGGGTTATATAACCTTTCCTCTCCAGGTCAGTAATTCAGATGAGAACCAGACTGGGAGTAAATTGAAGTCATTGCTGTCCAAAGACTGTTTGGCAGGTTGAGGTGGTGGTCTCAGTCTAGCTCGTAGCAAATAAGGTGACACACTGGTTATTTGGGGCAAATTTTCTCCAGCATTACACTGACTTAAGATGAGGGAAGCCAAAAGTGTACTTACAGGGAGCTCTTACCTCACAGAAAATAGAAAACCACAGAAGTGAATTAGGAAGCTTTTCTCACAACTCTTCATTCATTCTACTGTTTTTCTCTTATAAACAACCACCTTCTTCAGAGGGGTAGCTGAGTTAGTCTGTAACTGGAAAAACTTAAAAACGAATAGTCTAGTAGCACCTTAAAGACTAACAAAACATGTAGATGGTATCATGAGCTTTCATAGGCAAAACCCACTTCTTCAGATGACTGGAGTATTAAAAGTCCAGATCCAAGAATAAATAAGGGAAGGGGGGTGGAGAGAAGGGGAGATGTTTGGTATTTTTGTTTCAGCCATCTGGCAACCCTAAGTGTCGTCATGATCCTGAACGCCAAGTTACAATGCCTGGAGTGGGAAGCCAGGTCCAGCCCCATGCAACAGGGAGCCACCACTGCAGAATGAGTGTAGCTCGGTTTGCTCTTGAGACCCTAGTAACCCATCCCAGACCTCATCTGGTGTGTATGTTGTTGTAGTGGACATTACATTATGTGGTGACCTTTCCATGAAAGTTCTTCTTCCGGCAACCTCTGCTATGAAATTTTCTAAAAATGTCCCTGCTCAAGTCATAGCCTTACTTATCCCTGTTATGGACCACCATAAAGGCAGTCTTGCCTAGCAGTTAGAGCAGGAGTCTGGATCAGTGGACAGTGGAGGCAGCTAGATTGGGTAATGAAGCCAAGTATCAGCACCAGAGCCAGAGGTCGAGCCAGAGTCAGGGTCAGAGCCAGGACTGGTCACTGAAGATTGAAGGCAAAGCAAAAGAGAAGGAGGAGAGGCAAGGATCAAAAACAGTGCCAGAGAGGGCACAAGAGGGACTATTCGATTAGTCGATAATGGTGCACCCCCAGGCTGTTGCTTCACTTCAAAGGCGAAAGTGCTGCAGGAAACATGGGGCCAGCAGGGAACTCAAGCAGTCCCCCACTGGCCCTGTGCTCCTTGCGGCGTTTCAAAGCAGCAGCGCCACATGGAGCTTTCCTGGGCTCCACGCGGAGCTGCCACTTTGAAGCACTCCCTCTTCTACCCCTCCCTTGCTTCCTTTTTCTGATAGAGGCAGCAACAGGGGGTGGAGGGAGGAGAGAAAAGCGGCTAGTCAACTAATGTATTGACTATCCGATAAGCATTTGCTTGGGAGCTCCAGGAGGCACCCGTCCTTCATGACATGTTTCCCAATCCTTTCCTGAAGCACTCCAGTTCTACACCCACCCACAAATGCACCGCTGTGCGTTTTAAAGTAAAATCAAGGCCTTAACACACAGGTTTAGACCCCCTTTGTGGGGCACCCATTTATATTTCTCCTTTTGACATGGCTGCTAACTCAAGATTTGCATCAGGCCATTTCCAAAGAGCCACACAATGGAAATAAAATTGTAGGAACAAATCCTTGCCATTCGCATCACCCTCACTCATTCTCACTCCTCCCCTCAGGGTCCCACCCAGTACAGGCACACCACATTCCAGCTCATTTTGCAATATGCGCTTTGTGATCTGGCATGCTTAGGACATTTGACAGACCTGATCTCTTGGACCAATGGCAAAAAAATCCTCAGCAACATGCAACTCCTCACGTACGGGAATAAAAGAAGCCCCATGCTTTAAGCTTAAACCATTATCAAACACTGGAAGTGCAGGCACATTATGCTACTCCCTTCTCTTTGCCTTTGGGAGGTCAAAAGCTGACATAGTTTGAGGACTGAGTCCAAAACAACCCCAATGAGGTTAGAAAGATTAAGCTAGAGTTTCATTAGCTGTGAAATGTGCACATGTAGACAGAACTAGCTGCATTTTAAAAGTGGTTATTGGGCCATTCAAAAGGATGCTGCTTCTATTCATCCGAGTATTGAAACCACCTTTAAATCAAGAACTGACTATCTTTTTAATGTGTTTCCCCTTATTCTTGTGTTTAAGCCAAATACATGGAAACTTTAAAAAACAACTTCTCCTTAAATAGGAAAAGAGATTTTGTACTAAGCCTACAAATCAGACTGGAGATTTCTAGTCCAATTAATAATAAGCAGAGTCCCCTGGAAGAAGAAAACTGGCTCAAGCTTTTGTTTGGAAAAAAAATGTTGATATTTAACTATTTACCTGTTGCCTTGTTAGCTTATTATCCAAAAGGGTAGGAGCCTGGGTTAGGGTAGGAACGCTTAGTAAGACGCTCACTCATTTTAGTATGTGCAAAAAGTAGGGTTCTGACCAAGTGTATTGGCGTCCTAGACAACACCAACATTTGGCATTTCATTCCGGGTATGTCTACACTACAAAGTTAATTCGAACTAACAGACGTTAGTTCAAATTAACTTTAATAGGCGCTACACTAGCGCTTCGCTAGTTCGAATTTAAATCGAACTAGCGGAGTGCTTAGTTCGAACTAAGGGGTGTGTAGCCAGCTTTCCCTGGTGGCCACTCTGGCCAACACCAGGGAAACTTGTCTGCCCCCCTCCCGGCCCCGGATCCCTTAAAGGGGCACGGGCTGGCTACGGTGCCTGTGCCAGGTGCAAGCCTACCAGCACCCAGCCAGCAGACCCTGCACCTGGCACGGATCGAGCC